GCAGGGAAAAAGGGAAAAAAACGGCACAAATTTCGCTGTTTCCGAGATTTTTGTTTAGCGACAAAACGGAAAATGTTTATTTAATTTCCAAAAACGCCAACACGACACCGTATTGTGAACGTACAAAAAGCGTGGACGCTCCGGTTTTTGTAACGACTCGAAAATTTGAATTCTAATTAAGACTGTCGAAAAGACGATAATACCCCTACGAGGGAATGAGCGTGAGGGTGTTTTCGTAAATTCAAGCCTATTTTTTTTTTGTCTTAGTGGGCGTCTTGGACTGCGAGTTTTTTGTTGGGCTTTCGACGAGACTGAAATTCCGGCGGAATCAAAAATTGCCCTCCAGATCTACGGATATTTACGATGATGCCACTAACGGTTACATTTCTTTGTCCAGTTTGACAAATGTGCTTTGCTTTTTACTGTGGAGTTTTAAAAAAATATAATCCATGGACATTACCAATTATTAATTTTAAACAAATTGGAGAATGCAAAATTTAAAGGATTTTTAATTTAAAACTGGAAAACTAACTTTCGATTGTTAACTCTGATGATTTAGATCCGAATCTGGCTAAAAATAATGTTAATCATAATTCGCCAAAGTTAACTTGGTCGTCGTCTTCATAACTCGGATGATCTAAATTAGAATCCGATTAGAATTAGATATGTAAAGTTATAAACCTGATTAAACTTTGCTTTTTAATTAGTATTACAAGTCTACGAGAGTTAAGATAAACATTATACAAAAGCTTGGAAATTGGAAATATGAACACCCAAACTGTAAATTTCTCTTTTTTATTGTATTGTAGGTATGTGCATTGCGATAACATCATTATATTGGAAAGTAAATAGTTTATTGCATTTTTAAGGGACTACAGAAGTTTTTCTACTGTCAATAGAAAATTTCTTTTTCAAGTAACATTTTCAAAATGATATATGAGTAATATATTAGATTAATAAAAAAAAATTTTGAAATCAAATCATAGGAAAATGAGCAGTGGACACACAGCATGACGTTGACTGTGGATTTAATAACTTATCTCTATCATTATTTAAAAATTTTTTGACATTTAATTGGTTCTATGGGGGTACACAAATACCCAAAATTTGTGTAAAGAAAAGGACAAATTATAAATTTTATGTGTTCTTGGGGTAGGACAAAATTTAAAATCGATATATGTTTTTTAGGCATAAGTTTTGTTCAGAGGGTTTTTGGGTTTTGGACCAAAGCTACTTTTGGGATTATAAAGTCACATTTATATGTAGAGAGTCTGGTTGAAAAATTTCAGAGGTAGTAAAAGAAAATCTAACTAAATATAGAAAAAGTAAATACTTGTTACACATTTTATATAATCATTATATACAGTATGTTATGATATCTAGTTGTATGTAATATATCTACATTTTATCTAGTGTCTATGTCCTTCATTTAATTGGGTTCACATGATTCCCATGACAAAAACTTTCCATAATCATACAAAAATTAAGATAGATATAGATTTCTTTTTTTCAAAAAAAGATATAGATTTCTTTTTCTTCTTCAATCTATTTATTGTAAGTCAAAAACTTTACTCTGACAAACTTTAAATTAAATTGACTTGATGATGTCAAAAAATTAAAATTTGACTTGATTTGACCAGTACAAGAGAAAGTAAAAAAAAGAAGAAAATCAGATTATATCATACAAAGATTCTTCTCATTTTCCGGTTAAAGAATTTTTTTCTTTTGTTTTTCAATTACATCACAAATAATTACAAAAACAAAAACAAATTAAAAATGATGTTAGATTTTTCTTCTGTTCAGACTTTGTACAAAGCTATTAATTAAAGAGATGAGGAAAGAACCAACAGACCAAAAAAGCAGAGCTCTTTCACATCTTTGAACAGAAGAACCTGTACTATGTAAAAGGAGACAAGAGATGTTTCAGACAGTAAAAATCAGAGAGAAGAAGCAAAAGCAGCTCAGAGTTTGTCACGTGGGTTTGTAACTTTGTATGTTTACTGCAACAATGCTTCTTCCTCTTTCTTCATTGTCTCCAGCTGTCTTGTCGCATACTTTGTGATGAGAATCGTTGTAGCAACAGTTGCTAAAAATCCAAGAATGTTGAGAATTATCTGTGTAACCGAGAGACCATGTTCTTCTGCAGAAGATGCTTCTGCTAATGTCTTTACAAGATTCCCTCTGCAAACACACAGAAACGAGAGAGGATTTGAACTGATCAGTGACTTAATTTAACTGATCATTCCCTCTACAATCATGGAATGTTGATATGTTTTTTATGTTGAATATGTGCAATGATGATTGATGTAAAACAGTATTTGGACCTGATCAAAATGTTTTGGAGTCGGAAAAGAAGGGGTCGAAACCTGACTTACGTATAGATTGCGACGAAAACCTCAGGCACCATGCCTAGGAGAGAGCCTGTGATGTAAGGACCGTACTTAACACGGGTTGCTACCGAACAGTAGTTGTAAAGAATGTATGGGAATGGAGAAATCCGGATTAAGGTTACTGCTCGAAACTGATGAAACCAATTCCCTTCACCAGCAGCTCTTAATACGGCTGCTTGATGGGGATATCTTTCTAGCCATCCCTGTTCAATTCACATAAGGACACAAACCGATATCAGTAATATGACAGTTACAATTCACACAAATGCAACTACTTTGATCAAAAGACATTGTCCGAGGCAACAAGAACAATGTTAATCAACCTAATGGCTCTTAGTGCTGGGTGAGTTAACCAATCTTTCTAATCGTGTATGTAGCGGTTTCTGATTTTTTTAAACTACCTTATAACTTTCTAGCATGATTAAAACATGGATACTATGATTGATTTAAAGGAAGTAAGGAGACAGCTCTTATCGGGTTGAGACATACTTGAATTTTGTGGCAGAAGAGATGTCCAATGAAGTAAGGAAGTGATACACCAACAGCTGCAGCTGAAATGATTAGTAGAAAACCATAGCCATAACCAAATGTCATCCCAGCAATCCACATTGACGGCGTAGATGGAAGAAGGATCGTCGGGAATAAGGCCACGGATGCAAAAACAAGAAGACCGCAAACGGGATGTGTAAATGTCCTTATCTCCCATTTTATAATCGGTATAAGCTCCTGCAAAAACCAAGCCAGTGGATAATTCCCCTTTGTTAGGAACAGAGCAAAAGACATTACACAGATCATATCTAATGCAAGATCTCTTGGATTTGTTAAATCCATTACAAAACCTCAAATCTACTTAACTTTTCGACCATATGGATTCAGCAATACACAATGAAATTGCAATGCCTCATTCTAAAGATGGATTAAAGAGTTTAAACGTATCCAATTCTCATAAAGAAACCTGTGTTCTAATCTTAAAGGCAAACACTAAACTAATCTAAGGTTAGAATTGACTTCAAGACTAAGAAACCCCACCAAAGTTAAGGCCACTACTTAAAGAATCTTCCACAAGATCTAATGATCATGACTCTAGACTTTAATCAGACTCAATCGGTACGAATTATAGAAATCG